AACCCTCTTTGTCTTTAATTAAGCCTCTAGAACTAGCCAACCATTTCCAAAGCTTTCACTTGCTTCAATTGGGTCTTCATTTCAATTTGGCCAATTTGTAGCCTTGTTACACTCACAACGAGGACATTGTTTCCCTTAAGTTTGGGGGAGCCAAACACTTTATAGAGTTCATGAAACATATGCATTAAGACCAAAAGACAAACAAAGGAACAAAGTTCTATGTCTTGTGCATACAAAAGAGTGTCAAAGTACACCAGAATCTTTGAAAAGGACCAAAGTGTCCAAAATACCTCAATATGAGATGCATAACAGTAAAATTGTGCTATGGAGTGAAAAAAGTGAGATGAGGTAAAAGACATGCATTGAAAAGAAAAATCCAAATGCAAAACCCAATTCAAAGTCCCAAATTCTATGTTGAATCTAGTATAGCAAAAGAAATGTAAGCTAGCTTATGGTTTGGCAATATGAAAGATTTAAGTTTAGGGGAGCTAGGTTTATGAAAGGCTATGGATATCAAGCATCAAGTCAAGAGTATAACATCTTCATTCAAAAATTTTCAAAAAAATGCATACTTTGGCTATTGAATACTTATGCTCAAATTTTTTGTTTAGTTTATTAGAACTTTGAGTCTTTTAATTTGTCATTTTCTGTTATTTGGGGACAAATAACAATTCAAGTTTGGGGTGTGATAAGTGTTAATTTATTAACCTTATTACATCATTTTCTTAACCATTTTCACTTGTTTTATTTGCCCATTAGTGTCTTAATTGAGTCTTTTTACGTCTTCTTCATATATTAGTGGTAATATAACATATCTAATGTTAATTCCTTGTTTATGCAGGTTTTTGATGATTATTGGGCCTGATCTTGCAGCAGTCCTGTAGGACCAGGAGTGGTAGAATCCTATAGCACCTGTCCGTGAGCTGCACTTTTGCCTGGACTAAGAATTCTTGGGCTGATCCTTAGTAGATGCATGGTCAACGACCTTGGGCCCGGTCAAAGCCTATTTTTGAAGAGTCTTTTGTCTTATTAGGTGGCTCTCACTTATCAAGCTCCCTTAACATATAAATAGAGGCTTAAGACTTGGGTTTACTTATCAATTTACACACTTTCTTACATTTTTTATGCTTTCTACCATTTAACACTTATGATCTTTGTGTTAATTGCTCTCTAGAATATTGCTTTCAGTTTTCTTGTTTCCAATCAAGAACCGATTTTTGTGAAGTGAAATTGTGATTACGTTTTCAAGTTTAATTCAAGTACTCGTATTTAATCTTCATCTCATTTATGTTCTTATTTCAAAGTTTACGTTACGTTTTCTGACTTTTGTTACAAGTTACGAATTAGTCGATTTCTGTTGTTTTATACTGGATTTCATCCTTTGTGGCTCACGTCTAATTTACGTAGACTAAATAATCTGTTTTTAAGAGTTTACAAGTAACATTTTCGGTCTTTGTAACGAAACTTGTGTTGCAAGTTTTATTCCAAGTTTTCTTCCTTAAAGTCAAACTCTATTTTCAAGGCATTCATTAGTCATTTCTTCATCTCATCAAGTACATGTCTTACATCATTACTTA